AGCCAGAAAAAGAAACAACAAAGAGAACTGTAGACTAATCTCCTTGACGAACACGGATGCAAAAATCTTCAAAAAAATACTAGCTAATTGAATCCAACAACACATCAGAAAGATCATTTATCTGGATGAAGTGGAATTTAACCCTGGTATGCAAGGATGGTTCAACATAACCAAATAGACAAATGTGACACATCACTAGGGTTCAAAGATGGCAGAACAGGGAAGGACAAACTACTCTAGGCAAGGGATAAATAGTAAAAATAAACAAAAAAAAATGGAGGAAGTATATTCTCAGGGGAGAGTGAGAGAGAAAACTGCAGTGGAAATTCAATGGAAGGAAGAGTAACACCATGGATTAGTGTGGAAGGTGTGGATGCACAGCAAGAACATGGATATAACACATGACTCCATCAGTGAAGAGCAGGAGAAAGCACCAGCTTTGGAGAGTGAGGTGAGATCAAATTACAGCACTCAGTGTCACTAGTGATATAACAGGTGAGAGCTCCGCATGAGTCTTGCATAGAGCCCTAAGAGGGATAGGGTACCTGATAACCCAGGGGGAAAAAGGCGGGGCATGTTTCTCTCTCCATCCTCCAACAATGGTGCGGACAACTGGCTGAGCGAGTAGGTGCAATTTTGAGCATAAGCAGCAGCTGCGGAAGCTCTTGTGTGTGCACCCAACAACTGGCTGGGACAAGACACCATCTTGTCTGCAGTAGTTGCAGCAGCTCAGGTGTGCGAACCTGGCAACCAGTGGGGAGAAGGCACCATCGTGAGGTGAGCAGGGGCTGTGACCAGCAACTCTTGTGCATGCATGTGATCCAGTGATTATACCAGAGGGAAAAATCCATGTTCCCCATTGACTTTGAATCTGTCTAGGAGGATTGACAGGGGACTGGGCACCCACGTGAGACTGTGAGATGCCCCCAGCCTTTCTATATATCACAGGCCCCAGGGCTTAAATAGCCTAGGTGGAGCACCCACAGGCAGCTGGCTCTGGGAACATCTCTTTTTCTCCATAGATGGTGCAGTCTTGTGGTATGAGGCAGATCCTCTACACCCTGTGACTGTGGGATACTTGTATGCTGAGAATGTAGGGACTCTAGTGATTGCAAGAGAGGGCATAGGGTATAGCTGTGTCTCTGGGCAATCAATGTGAGTAGCTCCACAAGCTCAGAGCTCCCTGATTGCCTGGGGTGGGTCATTGCAACACAATCCAAGCTCACACTGAGGACGCCACAGATCATTTGTGTGGTTCATACAGCAACGCAGAATAATATTGCATTCACTGTGGGCTAATACCTTGGCACTGATCACCTTAGAGGAGAAATAAGGAGGTGATTATGCCAACAGAGGTGATTATATCCTCTTTCTGCGAAAAAGACA